GTGGTTGGAATTGATTGTCATACACTGTTCATTTTTTTTTTTTTCAACTAATTCCTTCCATGCAACTCCTTAGGAGGAGTGGGAGTAGGCAGAGATTATCCAGCCCAGCTCTAGTCAAATGGCTAAGGGGGCAAGACTGGCTTCTGTATGATTTTATGGGGATTTCCCACTCAAGGCAATAGTTGGGAGTTTGCACAGAGTGATGAACTAAATCACAGTTCCTGGAGGAATATAAAGAAGAGCATGCACGAAGTACAAACACCAAAGATTCCGGAGGCAGAAACTGAGGATAGCATCACTAAGCCTGACTGCTAAAGAGCTCAAAGGAAAGTGGAGCAGAAAGCAGCAAAGAGGTCATGGGCTCCTGTTGGTAACATATATTTGAGAATCAACAAGAATGAGTGGATGCATCCGCTCTTCTTAATAGGGCAGGATATGGGCTCAGCTGCAATCACAGAGTCCCAAATTTGGCGACTTAAGATAGAAGTGTGTCTCCCTTTCATGTAGTAATCCAGAGGGAAGCAGTGCAAGGCTGGAGGAAAGTTAGGTCATCCTCAACACGCAGCTTCCATCCCGGGGTCTGAGATAGTTGCCCCTACTCCTGCCACCTGTCACCTGGAGGGAATAAAAAAGACCAAGGGAAGGCACACTCATCCCTTGAAAGAAATTGGCACAATGGTGGCAAATATCACTTCTTTCTCACACCTCATTGTCCAAAACTTAGTCACATGGCCATACCAGGCTGCAACAGAGACTGAGAAGTGCCATCTCCAGCTAGGCAGCCCCATGCCCAACTATCACTGTTCTTTTATGTAAAGACAGAGAAATAGATAAAGGTGGATAACTGGGGCTCTGGAAGTTAAAAGTACCAGCTTAGCCTCAAAGAATTTAAAGTCTACTTGAAAAGATAAACAAATAAGCTCACAATAATAATAATAATAATAATAATATAAAGCAAATATTACTCTTTGCTTGCCAAATACCAAGTATCATATTTAGCATTATCTTATTTAATACTTGTAATGGTCTGAATGTTGGTGTCCCCCCAAAATTCATATGTTGGAACTAATACCCACTGTTAGTATGAACAGGTGGGGCCAATGAAAAGGGATGAAATCATCAGGACTCCATCCTGATGGAGCAACAAGGCACCATTTACGAAGCAAGGGCCTTCATGAGATCCAAATGTGCCAGCACCTTGATCTTGAACTTCTCCACCTCTGGAACTGTGAACAATAAATTTCTGTTGTTTATAAATTACACTATAAGGTATCTTGCTATAGCAGAATATAGACTGAGGAAATAGAGCAGAATACAGAACATAGCAGGAAATGGACTAAGACAATACAAAATGACTCTGTTATTATATGTATTCTATAGGTAAAGAAACTGAGACTTAGCTTTAGCTAACTGACCCAAGGTTAAATATGGAGCCCAGATACAAACTGAGTCTGTTGGATCCTAAAGTAGAAGTCAGAAAACTACAGCCCTTGGGCCAAACACTGCCCTTCCTGTTTTCGTAAACTAAGTTTCACTGGAACACAGCAATGCCCATTCATGAACATATTATCTATGACAACAGCAGAACTGAGGAGTCACCACAGAGACCAAAGGGCGTGCAAACAAACCTGAAATAATTACTGTCTAGTCCTTTACAGAAAAAGTTTGCCAGCCCCTGCCCTAGTGCTAGAAGGTTGGGTGCAATTAGCTAGGTATGCACAAGCTATCATGCAACCTAGAAGAGGATACCTAACAGAGAAAGGCCAGGGCAGGCGAGGAGGCTCTGAGAGGAAGTCCAAATGTAGCCGACTCTTGGCTGATGAGCAGAAACTGAGCAGTCAAGACAGTGGTGTAGGAGGAAGAGCTTGTGATGAGATCTGGAAGTCTGAGGGGAAAGGGGTAGGTTCAGCGGACCCAGGTGGTTGAGGCGGTGGGGAGAGGAGGGCTGTCAGGGGAGGTTGGGGACATGGAGGTTCCCTGTGGTGGAGGACAGCATTGAGTAGCTACAGTAGCCTGTAGATTAGGTTTTACATACTTGGCCAGTCATTGCAGTCATGTAGGGCGTTATTCGACACGAGATTCTAGGGCCCCACCACAAACCCACCCAATCAGGATCTTTGCTTTAAATAAGCCACCTATGAGATTCTGGCAAACACTATCAAACATGTAGGAAGAGAGTAATGAGGCAGGTCCCCTGGCCAACGGCTGCTGCAGTCACCTGGGGCCAGCAGAAGCGTATGCCCAGAGGGGCGAAATGGCAAGGCTTTGGGGTAGCCTCTTGGTATAAAGTGAAACAGAGGAGAGAAAAAAAATGAGATCATCATTTATGATCATGGTAATGGGGAACAAGAGCCCAGGTGAGTCCCGGTGAGTAGGTAGCCCCAGTGAGGTCTTCTCCACTTTCCCCTCTGTAACTTGACCTTGGACTTCTTTTGATGTCAAATTCCAGTTAACTACCCACATCCCAGACAAATTGCAGTCTGGCTGTTTCAGAAATGACTGAACTTTTACAGAATCAAAGGTATTAGAAGGGTCAGCTTCTAAGATGTGTACCTCTTCTTGCTCGTTTCTGGACCTTGGAGGATTTTTTTTTTTTCCTGTTTGTGAAAGAATGTGTTTCACTGACCTTACAAAAGAATTGACTTGTGGTTATCTCTGTCTATGAGAGGGATAGTTTATACCCTTGTTTTCTTGCTTTTATGAATCTAGAAAAAGTACTTCAATCACCCCAGGAAAAAAAAAAAAAACAATAGAAGGAAGGGAATTTAGTAGAAGGAGTTTAACTGTACAATGTGTTCTCATTTGGAATGCAGCAGGAAGAGAAATGCATCCCTTGACTCATTCATTGAATAAATAAATCATAGGATTAGAGCTTAAGTAATAAATAATAAGGAAAGAAGGAAACTAAGAGGAGCTGACAAGGTAAAAAATAAATAAATAAAAAGAGCTATATTCAAGCAAAATGATGAAATAATGAGTGTTATTTACCATTTTGTCCTCTTTGTATTTACTGGTCATATTTTGCTAGAATTTTTTGTTTGACTACTTATCCACTGCCCCCATAAGCCTTTGGACTGGCAGAGGGTCAAAGGGGAAATGTTCTACTGTACTTTTTCCCTGACTTACTTCACCAACGTTAAATGTGCATGGAATAGGCAGCATACCAGGTGCTGAGCAGTTCTTGCTACTGGTCTGCTGGTGTGGAGTACATTTTAAGTCACTAAATTTGGGGTTACCTGTTACCTAAAAATATATAACTGTAATACTTGGTGTCTGTTGGTCTCCTTTGGACATGATATGATGAATTTGACCCTGAGATTTTGCATGCAGTGTTAGCAGTGCTGGAACTATTTTCCCCCTACCCCTCTGCGCTTGGTTCTCTCTTTCTAGCCTTCCAGGACTCACACATTAGATAAGACTTCCTTCAAGGTTCCTTTCTTGAAAGCCCCACATGTGGGACAGATGTCCCTTCTAGGTACTGACACAGGACTCTGGACTGCCCTTAATACTACTAGCGGCCAACTTTTATTGAGCTCTTAGAAGTCTAAATGTCGTGCATGGATTACCTTTTCTAATTCTCTCAACAACCCAATGAGAGAGGCACCATTATTAAGCCATTTTTATTAGTAATGGAACTGAGGCACAGAAGGGTTAAGGAAAGGCTTTTAGGTTACCCAGATGAGAAGTGTTTATTGTCTGTGCCTCTCTAGATAGTGAATCCCATGAAGAAGGAGCCCACAGCTGCCAGGTATGATGTTCAACAGAGTGCCCAGCACAGTCTGGTGCCTGATGTTTCTCCCTCTCCCCCTACCCCACCCTCCCTCCCTCTTTTCCTCTGTGTCCCTGTGTGTGTATGATGAATCATAGGGCCACAGGGACTTTCCCTCAATATAAGACTCATCTCACTGCATTGGAGATTATAAGGTTTACAAATCAAATGCACAGAGTTAAATTACTTTCTTGAAGTTGTCTATATTAAAGCCTTAGTTTATGAGAACTGTGCTACCTAATCTAGTTAAGCCTGAGATGACGGAGGCAGAAACCAGATGATATATCCTCTCTCCCTTCTCCCAGAACTTCATCTGCCAGGCCTCACTGGAAGACAGACCTCCAGAGCAGTGGTGTGTGCCATCTCCCTGGAAGCCTTTCCCTGGGCTAGGTCAGGCCAGACAGGCCCTGGGTGCAGAAGAATAGGATCTGTGTGGGTTGCTGTGTAGGGTCACATATCGTTTCAATATTTGTCTCCAAAATATTCATTCTGCATTCTTTATAAGTTAGACATGGCCTCCATGAAAGAGAAAGAGAGAAAGAAAAGATGGTAGCAGCTCTCCAATCATCTGTGGACTTTTGAACTTTGTCTGGGAGACGTCCTCCTAAACAGGCAACCAGGAAGCCTCATGTTCAAGAACTATCAAGCCCAGCTTGGCGCATTCCGTGATTTTTTGGAATTTGGCAGCTTGAGGGCAAAGCAAGGGCCAGATAAAAGTGGGCTGTGGAAAGCTGAGGATGGTGCCGACCCCACCTGCTCTATGCCTCTCCCTTTCTCGTTCCACCAGAACCTGGACTCAAATCCCAGCCCCACTATTTACCAGATCTATGACCTTGGCAAGTCATCCAGACCCCCTCTGAGTTCAAATCAGAGCAGTCCTGGGCCCTGCACTGCCCTGCATAAGGGATTCTTCCAAAAACAGAAAATACAGAAGTCCGCCAGGGTCCTGAATCAACAAGAGGAGGTGCCCATCATAAGAGAGGCCCTCCCAGAGCCTCTCGCTAGTTAAAGGTTGGTTATTTAATTTGCTGCTGTTTGTCTGAGGTGTGAGTACTTGTTCTTTATTAGAGGGAATATCCAACCTGATACATGGTAGTTGCTCTAAAGCATTTGTAGAAGGGAGAGAGGGAGGAGAAGAGGGAGGAAGGCTGCCTCATAGAGTTGTATAATTCAATTGAACAATTTGTGCAAGTTTCCTGTCTCAGTGCCCGGCACATAAGGGAAACACAGTATCAGTTCCCTTCCCTGCTCTGGCTTAAAATGCAAATTATCTAGGAAACAGCACATCCAAGCATCATGAATAGGTAAACATTTATGTATAGTACAGATTCATGTAGCAAAGGCTACAGAATGGGAGTAGGGCAGGAAAGTGTGTGTGAGGGCCAAGGAGGGCTCTGAGAGTTGCATAACGTGGTGTTCACACAAGGAAGGCATGAGGGTGATGGGGGTGGGGACCTGAGCAGGTGGGAGGCCGTTTGGTGGCACGGTGGGACTGAGAGGCAGAAAGCAGGAGGAACCCTGCTTACCTTCTGCAAGCGCCACTGCAGGACAGATGGAAAAGGAGCCAACCAGCGGAACTGGGAGACCCATGGTCCCAATGCTAAGTAGGTAATCCTTGTCTCTGATTCTCAGGCCTTGAAACTCTCCTGCATTATTAAAAACACCAATCCAAGAGCTATTTTCTTCTTTTGGTAAAGTAACAATCACCCATCTGCTTTGAGAGTTTAATGTTGGGGAATGGATAAAGCAATGCTTATTTAACTAGTGATGATATAGTTCATCTTTTTCCAACAGTGGTTACTTAGATTCCTCCAAGTCACTTTGTACTGTTTGAAAATAATCAATTCAGGTCTTACGCAGGTACATGTAACAGAAAATTGTCTACAATTGTCCAAAGAGAATATACTGTGCAAATTGTCCACAGCAGTGCAAAATGGAGAGAGCCCAAATGTAAACAGTGAAGGAAAGGCACTGAGGATGCTCCCTGCATTGCCAGAAGACTGGCAGAATCAGATGAATGAGGGACTGGTGTCATTACTCTCTTTCTCACATGCAACAAAGCTTTAAGAAACTCCAACATCAGGGCCGGGCGCAGTGGCTCATGCCTATAATCCTAGCACTTTGGGAGGCCAAAGTGTGCGGATCAGGAAGTCAAGTGACCGAGACCATCCTGGCCAACAAAGTGAAACTCTGTCTCTACTAAAATACAAAAATTAGCTGGGGTTGGTGGTGCTTGCCTGTAATCCCAGCTACTTCAGGGGGCTGAGGCAGGAGAATTGCTTGAACCTCGGAGGCTGAGGCTGCAGTGAGCCGAGATTGCGCCACTGCACTCCTGCCTGGCACCTGGTGACAGAGCAAGACTGTCTCCGAAAAAGAAAAGAAAAGAAACTCCAACATCAATTGCTTGTTGAAGTTAGGGCTTAAAATATTACCAAATTCAAATTATTGTATTTACTAAATATCCGTCAAAATGGGAACCAGTGGGCCTTCTCAATGCACGGAAATACACACATACATACCCATACACAGGGCAACATTAAATGAAAATATTACACAAAATAGTATACCTGTGCCAACTATGCCATAAAAATATCTGTCATTGATAAAGGTCAGAAGAAATTTTGAAGCAATGTGGCACTCTCTAGTTTGCTAACACTCTCTAGTTTGCTCATGATCTTTAACTTTGGAAAATTTTTCTTGGTAAATATTTAGTCTTTTTCATATATGTTCATTTAAGGTACATTTAAGACACATTTCCTGAGAATGTAAATACTCAAGAGGAATAAGCAGGAGTTGATGAGGAAAATCTTAATTTGCATTCCTCCTGCCTCAAATGCCTGAAATATCTTGGATATAATGTTGCGTGAATAAGGCTTTTACTGTTTAATGTGATAGGACTTAAACATTCTCTTTTTGCTAGGGTCTATAGTAGCCACTACTTTTCATTTTTATCTACCAAATTTACCAAGGAAGAAAAAATATGCCAAGGCTTCTATTGGTCTGCTCAAATCTTTTCTATCATCTGGCAAATAAATATCACTTCTCTTAAACCTGTCCACTTGGAAAGGGATATTCGGTGGTCTGTCCTGAACATGACAGTTCATGTAGTAGGGCTCTGACTTGTCAACTTGCTTCTGACTGTGTCTTTTGGTCTTCCCCACAGTCTTGTTGAAGTAAATAATGTAATATTTCTATAGCCATCGGAGATGCTGAAACTGAAATATATCTTCCCTGATTCGGCACACTAATAATAGTAAAACCTTGGCTTAACACCAGAAGTGAAGTCTAAAACGTTCAAGCAGGAAAGCACCGGTTTGCTATATTTTGCGATTAATCGAATGACCAAGATAAATCTGTGCAACTGGTCTGCCTAGGCCTTCCAGGGCTCTCGCTGAGGCATACAAACTCACCCTGGCCCCAGTTGTGATTCAGCACCAGCCACTGTCCACTCCAGTTTAAATCCCGATGGGGATGATTCCAGAGCTGACTGCAGTGTCCGAGATACCAGCAAAAATTCCAGGAATCTCCCAGGTAGCTGAGCCCCATTTCTTCAGATTGATCCAGAGAGACTGAGTTTGGAGAATGTAGGGAACCTGGAGACCCCACTTCCCAAGACAAGATTGCCTGCCATTTTCTCACCTACCCTACCCCTCCTCTCAGCATCCCCTCTTCCACCACTGAAGACAAGAACTTCATCACCCACCCCTGACTGAGGAGGAAGGCTGCAGGGGGTGTGGAACCTATTTCCAGTGATATCAGATCCAATATAGAGTTTTCTTGATTTGTGTTTCTTCTTTGTATTTGTAGACCCAGACATAGAAGACAGTGCACCCCATTTCTAAAGCAAAGCCCTTTCTCTACTTCACTGGCACACTTCAGAATTATTTCCCTCTCAATTAGTGTCCCAGGTTGCAGAGAGTATCCCTGTGCCTGCATAGTTTTTTTCTAACTCCTTTCTGTGAAAGGGAGAGCAGACCCAGACAAAATCAAAAACCTAGTTCCACACCCAATTTCCCAAGTCTGGAGTTGCCATTGCACAGATGACAGAGAAAAGAGTGAGGGAGTGGGGTGAAAAAGAATCGAATCATTCTTTTAAGTTACAATGTGTTTTGCAGGTTACTGACTCAATACAGCTCATAAATTCTGCCTGCATCTCACAAGCCGCTTGCTTACTCACTATCTCGGCTAAACATATCTTGTGAGTTTCATCCATTCTATTTGTTTTTCGTGTCTTGTCTGGCAGAATTGAATATTCTCAAGTCCTACAGTAAACACACATTGTAAGCAGAAAGATGTAGGGGAAAATAAGATAAAACACAGAGAAAAGTTTTGCTTTATAGTGGTAGGAGAAATAGAAACTCAAAAAGAGAATAGCTGAGTCACAGTAACGATGGAGTTTTTAGCAGAAAGCGGTGGATACTGAATGCTCAGAGGTGACAAAGTACCGATCATTGAGACTGCATGATCCTCTGCAATTTACCGGGAGCCTTCTTTCCATGGGGTTGTTTTTGGTTCTTTGAAGAGGTTAAATTACCATTAACACAGATGCATCCCAGGATGCCATACTTGCTGACCACCCCCTTCCCTCTTCCAGACCTCGCTGTGCTGGAAATCACACTTAGAATAAGGACAGGGATTTCACAGAGGCAATTGAAGAAGGAGGAGCGGAGGAAGCTCAGAGACCCACAGAAAATATACAGCATGGGATGACTGCTGCATTTGAACACATTTGTTTGTTCTAGGACTTATTTTGAAAGTAAACATAGTAAAGGGATTCACGCCTTAGCCCTTTGGAAAATAAAAACAACAAGCATATTGTCCAGTTTAGGCCATGTATTAGTTTCCTCGGCTGCCATATCAAAGTACCACAAGCTGGGTGTCTGGAAACAACAGACATTGATCGCCCCGGAATTCTGGAGGCTGCAAGTCTGAGATCCAGATGTCAGCAGGGTTAGTTCCTCCCTGGGGGTCTGCGAAAACATGTGTTCCATGCCTCTCTTCCAGCTGCTCGTGACAGCTGGCAATCCTTGCCATTAACTGGATTGCGGAAGCGCCATTCAAAACTCTGCCTCCACCATGCATGGCCTTCCCCTGTGTCCTTGTTTCTGCCTCTTCTTCCTCTTCTCGTAAGCACCAGTCATATAGGATTGGGGACCCATCTTATTCCAGTATGATGTCCTCTTAACCAGTTACATCTGCAACCACTCTAGTTCCAAACAAAGTCATAGCCTGAGGTTGGGGGGTGGGGCGGAGTTAAGACTTCAACACATCTTTTTGAAAAACATAATTCAACCCGTAACAGTCCACAATTGAGAAATATAAATTTGTATTTTGTTTATTTGGAGTACTGATCCTCTGTCTCTCTGAAAGTAGGAGAATTGAGTTTTTCCCAGTTTAAAGATTGATGGTAGATTTCATATATAAACTGTTCTGTATATGACACAAACTGTTATACATGGTTATCTCACAAGAGTTATCTCCTAGGGGAAGGTGATGGAGGCTTTCATTTCTCCATTGTAAATGACTATAATGTTTGTGTTTATAAAACAAACCTATGTACTACTTTGTAATCAGAAAGAACAATAAAGACACATTTACAAGAAGTGAATGGCTTTTCTTTCCCTCACAGCCTCTAGCATCAGAGTCTCCTTAGGAGAGGGATCTTTACTGGGGAGGAAAAAAGCAGGAGGCAGGGAATGTGCCATTTGGAAAATTGTGTTAAAACTACAATTGCTTTGATGTACTTGTCTTTAGACATAACTTTAACTTCCTTTAAATTTTAAAATAGCATTAAAGGAAGACTCAAGGTTTTCATGTTTACCCAAAGGGAACACAGGTTTTCAATATTGAGAAATGCAGAAGCTTCTGCAGCCACTCACAGAGGCTTCCTGTTAGCTAAGGCAAAAAGAGAATATTGGCTTTTAAAGGTTTTATCCAAAGAAGGATGTCCGGATAAAATACAAGATACCCAGTCAAATTGAAATTTCAGACAAATAACAAATTTTTCCAGTATAAGTATGTTCCAACCATTGCGTGAGACATACTTATCTAAAAAATTATTCCTCGTTTGCCTGAAATTCAAACTTAACTGGGTATCCTTTATTATTTACGTATTTATTTATTTATTTTTGAGAGAGAGTCTTGCTCTGTTGTCCAGGCTGGAGTACAGCAGCACAATCATGGCTCACTGCAGCTTCGACGTCCTGGGCTCAAGCAATCCTCCTGACTCAGCCTCCCCTATAGCTGGGAACACAGTCACATGCCACCACACCCAACTAATTTGTTTTATTTTTTTAGAAACCGAGTTAACCTATGTGGCCCAGGCTGGTCTCAAACTCCTGGGCTCAAGCTGTCCTCCTGCTTCAGCCTCCCAACGTGCTGGGATTACTGGCACAAGCCACAGCACCTGGCTGGCACCCTTTATTTTTATTTGCTAAATCTGGCAACCCTATTCCAAACATACCAATTTAGATAAGCTTTTTCTAAAAATTAGACCACAGGAGAGATTTGTCCCAGAAGTCACTCATAAAAGGATCACTAAGAGGTTGTAGCTCATCACATTTTTCTTTGCTGATTTTGCACAAGCCATAGAAATGTGGTTAAAATGAATCCTATTTTTGTCAACATTTTGTATCAGGAGTTCTTGACAAATTGTGCAGGAGTTGCAGGGGGTCTGTGAGCCTCCTGAAATCACATGCCAATGTATTTTTGTGGGGAAAGGAACCATAATTAGATTCTCAAAAATGTCTGAGATACCCAAGAAGGTCAGAGGGCACCACCTTAATGACTGAGGCCATACCTTTGAACCCAGAGAAGGTATTTTTTCTGAGGGCTTGGGCATTATTTTTAAGATTAATTGCTTTTCAGATGACTGACTTTCTGATGGCCTAAACTGAAAAATGGAGAAAATCTCAGCAAATGTACGAGTGGGAAGTTTATCTGTCTGCTGAAGCATCCCTCCTGAATGTCTGAGATGCCAAATGTTCCGCGTGTTTCACAGGAATTGAGTAGAAGCCAGGTCAAGGGTGGTGCTGATCACCGTGACTTCTCTGATAAAGTCTAAGGTTCAGAGGCATCTACCTTGAATACCAAAAGCCCTTAAAGAGCGAGATTGAGAGCGGGAGACAGACAGAGAGCAATGCTCAGGCAATGACTTTACTTACTACCTTTAGAAAATAAATGACCACTTTGAAAATCGCTACTTTATTGTTTTCCTTAGAACTCCTTCATCAGTCTACCAACAGCTCTTACTGATGAGCTCGACTGGCCCCAGCTCTCTGGTGCTACAGGATTTCTGGATTCCACTGTCGGGTAAGTGTATTTGCATACCCTCAGACATCTCAATACATCTGTGTAAAGAAAGAACAAGAGACGGGGCTAGCTCCCAAGATGTTGAAATAAGAATTATTGGGAACTGCTTCTAAAACATGAATTCAAGTTCATCCACCATACAGTAGGATATAATGCAAATTGCATTTTAGCAGTGCTGGCAGGAAGCGCATATTCCTGCTATGGGTAGGGTGGGGTGGGGTTCCATAATTTACTTCTGATGGAAAATACTAAACACATCACTGAAATTTTCTGATCCAAGGTAAAACAAAGTTTACTTGATTACTTAGTCTCAGAAATTAATATTTATAAAGATAATGGCTGAAGCCAATGAGCACTTCTCAAGGTCCTGGAATCATCCTGGCTTTAATGCCCCAGATTTGTAGGTAAAGACCAGGCCTGATGAGTTTGAGTGACACACAAACCCAATTCACTACATATGCCTGGGTGTTAAGACCTGGAGTCTGCTTCCCAGGGCTATACCTGGCAGGGACACCTGTGATGCTGGTGAAACTTTGCAAGTGTCCCTAACATGGTAAAAAGCCACAGATATGAGTCTATGGCCATCCCACCGTGAATACACCAGATCTTGTCTGATCTCTGGAAGCTAAGCAGGGCCTGGTTAGTACCTGGATGGGAGAATGTCTCAGATGTGAGAGGTAATTTCTCTCCCAACATCCCCTAAACATTTATGACAGTTAATAAGCACAAAGAATGTGGCAAATGAATGGCTTCCATGTGTAAAAAAAGAAGAAAGAGTAGAAGTTTGCTTTTAGGTCTAACGGCAGGACAGAACCAGCTAGGAAGCCCCTCTCTGACTCAGGCAACACCACCAGAAGCCTGGAAAAGACCATGAGATAAGCCATGAGAACTGTGAGGAGGGCAAGTATGCATGGGGCAAGATTTACCCAAATCTGTAAGGAGCAGGAACACCCCCAAGGGATAGACATTAATCATTTTAACAAACAGTTATTCTAATGAACAAAGGATGCTGCATACTATGAATATTTATTTGATGATCTTTACTCATTTACTTTAAAAATATTTCTTAAATACCACCTAACCAAGCACTAATGTTGCAGGTGTTCATTTAAAGGTAAATAAGGCTTGTCCCATCTTTGCAGTCAATTACAATCAAGTAAGGCAGATGAGACAAGTGAAGAGATAATGGTAATGCAAGGGAGATGTACCAATGACAGTTCTCTCACAGAGCCTCCGGGCTCTCAGGAGAAAGAGCTCAGGGAAGTGATCAACAGCCACTTCCTTTGGGGGAAAACACACAGGATACTGGGGTGATGAAATGCGTATAGAAGAAACTAGGAACGATAACTAACCTTCAGGGAAACATACGCATATTTACGTAGACATCATCTGTGAATATAGGGAAACTAATAAGATGTGTTTTCCAGTGTAGTTATAAGTTTTCAAGCTTAATCATGTTTTTTTTTTTAAAAAAAAAAAAAAGCTAGTCCTTGTCATTAGTGTAAAAATACTAAAATACTTACTAATAGGGATAGTAAAAATAAT